CGATGTGGTAAAGATAGAAAGGATAAATAGATCAACAGAACTATCAGAATTGTCATGAACTCTTTAAGGTTTTTCCTAAGCAGCTAATTCTCAGTTTGCTATACAATGTCAAATGATTTGTGCATCCACCGGATAGCAATCTGAACACTAATAAACTTCGATCACATTAGAGAAGTTGCCAATGCCAGACCTTAATCTTTGTCCAAGAAAATACAAAAGATATGCCCAACAGCAATCGTCACCTATGTGGCCGGTGTACAGTAGTCACCGATGGTACTTCTCCTTATCCTTGGTCGCTCTTGGAGGCTGCAACTTCACGTCACCATTGAAATTATAATCGGTAGCAGACACATTGCTCTGTTAAGATATTACCATATTGAAATGGCTCCACGGTATTAAGAAATTCGTAAGGACTCATTGCTGGACGAACAACAAGGAATTTGTTTCAATCTGTAGTGTATAACACGTTCCACAAGGGATACTAAAATTGGATAAGAAGCAGAATTTTGAACCACCGCACGATGTCTAGTAGAAGAGGGAAATATACCTTTTTTTCTCCATCACATTGTCTATCTCAAAACGAATCAGTGTAACCATGTCTTCGGATACCTTTCAATTTGGATCTTCAATTCATAGAAAAAACTGACAAGGCTGATGCACGCACCGTATGCAACCCAATCCAATCTCCTCCATTTTTTCATTATAATTCTTCAACGAAGCATCCGATTCAAAAACAGTTTTCATCGTTGAAATCCTGACATTTTTGTGCACGATTCAAGATCCATTGTGAATATATTTTTGGAAAATTTAAAATTCATAATTTTGCACATTAGGATATAAAGATTTATGCTTCCGTCTACGCATAGAATCTTGTGAGTGAGAGCATACAAACATGGATAGAAAAAATGTGGAAACAATCACAGAAGCGAAAATGTTGAGCACCCTCTGCAGCTACCAGCGATGCTCTTGCCATGGCCACCATGCGTGTCTGCAAGAGGAACAAGAGATGAATAAAAGAATTAAAGAAATCCCCTTTGTCCATGCATAAAAAAGAAAAATCCATCACCTCAAGCAGTTCATTGGACGCAGTGTGCTACACAGGATATGCCGTCAAAGCTTGTTGCCTGGGGTAGGAGAGGAGGGACCACCTCGACCCACTACTGCAACATTCAAGCGGGGTATCAGCATGCTGCAAAAAATCATTGAATCACAAGGAATCTGATAGAGCAGGGGGAAGCTTGCACAGGTCAGACGAGAAGAGAAGCACTGGGCGTAATGGGCTGTTCTGTGGGCTGAGCATGCCAGAGCTGTAGTTGTTGCTTGCCCGACTGGAGCCACGAAAGGGGAGCCGCCCCTGTGATGTCGATGGAGAGGGGAAGGTTGAAGTCGCTAGATCAGTGGCCGCACCGCCGCTAGGGGCTGTCGAGCACGCGGGTTTGGCCAGGTTGTCGCCGGGGGCTGCGGAGCTCGATGGCCTCGCCGCACCATGTCGAGCTAGGGAGGAGGAAAGGGCGTACCTTGTCGATCTGCTCGCTCCTCATCCTACTCGATCTGCTCGCCCCTCATCTCGCTCGAGGCTCCTCCTGCCTGCCAACCAAATCTGAGGGGGCACCGCCGCCGCCAGTGCCGCTGCGGGGTGGCCACGCCATCGCCCCTACACCTTGCCACGCATGTCCTAGGAGTCGCCGCAGGTGCCGGTTGCATGGTGGGATAGGCCAGGGGCCGCCGTCGCCAGCCCCTCGACCACGCGGCCGTCCTAGCCCCCACGAGATGCAGCCAGGGCCCGCCGTGCCCGCGCATCTAGCCGCGCCAAGGCCGAGCTCGCAAAGCTTCGCTGGAGATGGGAGGCTGCCGTGAGAGGGAGCGCCACCGGCGAGGAAGGAGCGCCGCCGTCGCCGGTGAGGAAGGAGCGCCACCACCGCCGGCGAGGGAGGAGCGTCGCCGTGGCCGAGAGGGAGGAGCGCCGTGGGCCGTCAGGGGGAGGGAGCGCCGTCGGGTGTCGGGTCACGAGAGAGACGAGGGGGGATTTTTCTTTTTTTATTAGTCGCAGTATCGCACGGGGTGGGGAGAGGCAGACCCAAAACAAATGTCGCACCAAAAATTGTCCACACTTTGTTCTTTTTAGTTGTAGGAGATTTGATCAAATTTTGAATCATTTGATTCACATTGGGCAGTGCACGCTCCAAACTGTAACGTCTACTTTTGAGCTTAATTCTGAATCCTTTGTTGTAGTGATCTTCCAGCAGGTGTGCTATGAGATTTTCCTCCACACAAAGAGCACAACCCAAAGTAGATTTAGGCAAACACAGACATAGTAAATCAAAATGCAATGAGACACGGTATATTTGTTTTAACGAAGTTCAGCCTCCCACTTGAGTCATAGTATTCGGTGAAGAGGCAATAAGTGACCACTCTGGGGTGCACTCTAGCCGGGTCTCTCTCAACCACAACCCTCAATCCACTAAGCTTGATTCCTTCCCCTACAGAGGCGAGACCGGGTCCTCACAAATTTGCCGTGGCACACCACAATCCTTGGTTGCTTGCCGGTAACTCCTAGCTGTCTAGAAGCAAACTATAAGAGTAACAAATGTGAATTAATCACTTGATCTCACAAAGAGAGGTGTGAGGAGTGCTTCAAATTGCTCCGGCTTGTTTAATCTCTTTCATTTCTTTTTTTTCTTTAAAGCTCTATTCAGACTTTACTCCCGTCTTGTTTTTATTTAATAAATAACCTGTAGGGGCTCTGCAGGCCCCTGCAGCCCCTCCAGTTTCATAAAAAAAAGGAGTGGTTCAAAGACTAAGATGTTTGTCAACGCATCAGAATCAGCAACCCTCCCAGAAATAAAAAAGAGAAATGCACGGGACATCCGCTAGTAATTTTTCATCTGATGAATCTGGATATTGAAAATGAGACAGGTCACTACCGGATACAGGAGCTTGGCCGAGTGCCAGGGGCACTCGGCGAAGCTCAAAAAACACTCGGCAAAGGGTTTGCCGAGTGTTACACTCGGCAAACCCTATATCGGCAAACGCTAGTTTGCCGAGTGTGTTTTGTCGAGCACTCGACAAAGACGTTGCCGAGTGCCCAAAAAACACTCGGCAAACTTTTTTTCAAAAAAAATAAAAAAAAGACACGCCCGCACCACTAGCACCACCACCGCCACCACCATCCGTGCCGCTGTCCCCTCCGCCGCCTGGGGTGCGCCGGATCTGGAGCTCAAGGTGGCGGAGCTCGCCGGATCCACCACCCGCCCGCCAGATCTGGAACTCGAGGTGGTGGAGCTCGCCGGATCCACGCTGCCAGCCGGAGGGAGAGAGGAGAGAGGGCGCGCCGTTGATGATGTAGAGCTGAGGTGGAGGAGGAGCGCCGCATCGCCGGCCTGACGCCGGTGGAGGAGCGCCGCCACCTCACTCGCGCCTACCAGATCCGGGCTGCTCCACGCCGGATCTGGGCTACTCCTTGCTGGGGTGCTCCAGATCCACCGTCGGAGCGCCGCCGGAGCAGACCTCTGCCCCGCTCGCCGACTGCTGCCTCCATCCCGAGAGAGAGAGAGAGAGAGAGAGAGGGCGCGGGCGCCGCGGCGCCGGAGATCCGCCGGGAGGGAGGAGGAGAGAGAGGGGGCGGGCAGATCTGGGGAGGGAGGAGGAGAGAGGGCGCGGGCGCGGCTAGCCCTGGGCATTCGGTACTACCGAACCGAATTCTCGGTTCCTCGGTTCTTCGGTTCCCAGGAAAGTCGATACCGTTCGGTTCTTCCAAAAAATCGGTACCGACGAAGTTCGGCTTCGGTTAGTTCGGTTCGGTTTCGGTTCCGAACCAAACTAACCGAACAACTCCGGCTTCCAAAAAATCAGCGACTCAGGAGGGCGCGCCGGACTCTGGGCGGGGATGCGGCGCCGCGGGAGGTCGGCCGTCGCAGGGGGCGCCGGGACTCTAGGTCTCCGGGAGGCGGGAGTTCGGCTCCTCGGGTAGTTCGGTTAACCGAGGGGAGGAACCGAATTAACCGAACCAATTTTGGTTCATAGGAAATGGGAACCGAATAGGGAACCGAGATTTCGGTTCTCGGTAAATTCGGTTCGGTTCTCGGTTTTTTCGGTTCGGTTCTCGGTAAAATTTGCCCAGGGCTAGCGCGGCGGCTCCAGAGATCCGTCGGGAGGCAGGAGGAGAGAGAGGGGTCGGACGGTTCTTGGGAGGGAGGAGGAGAGAGAGGGCGTGGAGGAGGAGAGAGAGGGCGCGGGCGTGGCGTTAATTAAGTAAGTTTTTTTATTTGCTGAGTGTTCTAGATCTGGGCACTCGGCAAAGTTTTTTCATTTTTTTTCTTCTCCTTCTTTCCCAGAAAAAAAGGTTTTATTTCTTTGCCGAGTGTAAAAATAAAACACTCCGGAAACCCTCTCTTTGCCGATTGTTTTTTTTTGACACTCGGCAAACCTCCTCTTTGCCGAGTGTTTTTTTTTGCCGAGTGTTTTTAGCGCAGCACTCGGCAAAGAACTTGTTCGCCGAGTGCCCGAGGGAAAACACTCGGCAAACCTAAAAGCACTCGGCAAATTTGACGTTTCCGGTAGTGGGTAGACTCTACTCTACTAGAAATCTGGTTCCATAATATTCTCTTGCTATGTCTTGTAAATTAAATATATATTTTGTCGGGAAAACAAATGGCAAAAATTGCGTTTTGTAGACCTTGCCAATTCAGTTACCTAAAACGTCCTTATTTATGACTAGATTAATGGGGAGTAGTTATTTGGTTGATTTCATCATATTGATTTATTTGCATGGTCACCTTACTGTCCACGTGCATTCATGTGTCGTCTGTTCGATATCGTGATGAGGCAGCATGGCCACTAGGCTACGCCCATGCTTCATGTATGTGCACTATATAAGCTAGGTACTACACGGCAGTATACCAGTACATTTGAAGAGGACAGCTGACAAGACAAGAAAAGGCATGAAGAGCCGTATCCTCCCAGACGCATTCTTCTTCTTCCTCCTCCTCCTCCTCTCGGCCATGGCCGTGGCCCTGCCAATGGCTGCTGCCGCTGCTGCAGTCGTCGAGCACACCTTTGTGGTAAGCATATATGTACGTTTGTTCATGGACGATCATCATCAGCATATATATGGGTACTGAATTTGAACAAGATATATACTGACAATGTATATATCCAATACTTAGCCATGGATCCAACAGGTGAGTCAGGTGGGCATGACACACCTGTGCCAGGAGACGCTGGTGACCGTGGTGAACGGGCAGCTCCCGGGGCCGGCGATAGAGGTCACAGAGGGAGATTGGGTGGCCGTCCATGTCATCAACAAGTCACCTTACAACATGACAATCCATTGGTATACGGAGTAGTAGTAATATTTTCCATCAATATGACAATCCTTGGCGTGGCCTGCATCTTCTTCCTGATGATGAATGAAAGAAAGAGAGTGTATGTATTTGCAGGCATGGCGTGAAGCAGAGACTGAACTGCTGGGCCGACGGGGTGCCGATGATCACCCAGTGCCCCGTCCGGCCAAACCACAGCTTCACCTACCGGTTCAACGTCTCCAGGCAGGAAGCCACCCTGTGGTGGCACGCCCACGTCTCCTGCCTCCTGGGATGTGTCCATGGCGCCTTCATCATCCGGCCCAGACACGGGGCCAGCTCATATCCCTTTCCAAAACCTCATAGGGAGGTGCCCCTCGTCATAGGTGCCTCCGATCCCCTGCATTCGCCTCATCATCCATCTAAGCGCGTGTTTAGTTTGAACCCAAAATCCTAAAAAGTGCTACAGTATCTGTCACATCGAATGTTTGCGGCCCGTGCATGGAGCATTAAATGTAGACGAAAAAAAAACTAATTGCACAGTTTGGTGGGAAATTACGAGACGAACGTTTTGAGCCTAATTAGTCCATGTTTGAACACTATTTGCCAAATAAAAACGAAAGTACTACAGTAGCCCAAAATCCAAAATTCATGAAACTAAACACGCGCTAAGATATATATGACCATGGATGGACTATGTCATAGACTCCGCGTTCACTGCCGGGTCTAAACCGGCTGTCACTGCCGGATTTCAGTCCGGCAGTAATAAGACTGACTGACACTTCAGTGTCGGGCAGTCCACCCGACAGAGATACCGACTTTACAGAGAGAGAAAAAAACACCGGCACGCTCGCCGGGGACCTTAGTCCGCCGACACCACTGCCCCCGTACCGGGGAGCTCCACCTGTGGTCCCACTCCAGATCCATCCATACAGGCAGTGGATCCATATAAGTAAGCAACGAATCAAGAAGCAGTGGTTCCAACAAACAAATCCACCTATGCAAAGCACGAGTTTGTCCATAAGCAATCAACGAATTGAGAAACATTGGACTTATACAAGCAAGCAACAAATCAATATGTGGAAGATGTCGACGACGTTGATGACCATGGACCACTACAAGCCCTGCGCCCGTGATGCATACATACGTACACACACATACATACATACATATACATACATACATGTGTATGGCAAATTTCATATATGCATTGTTTTGGCACAATGCTCTATTTAAAATGAGCGCCTCAATTTTCTTCCAGAGAGGACGATTCTAAAAAAAATCGTCTCTAAAAAATGGTTTCATAGACGACCTACCGCTAGAAATCAATTTTTATAGACGTGCGATATTTTCATCCGCCTCTATAAATATCTCTATTTCTAGAGGCAGTCTCCTCTACAAATAAGATTATACTCTAGAGGCCATTGGTGTTTCGAACCGTGCCTCTAAAAGTAGAATGCATTTCTAGGAGTAGATTGGAAACATCAAACCACCTCTACAAATTAATTTATAGAGGCGGCTGGCAATATATATGACTTTTCCAAATCAACTTTGTTGAAGACAAACTTTGTATCAAAGTTGTAGAGCTCGAACAGATATTAAAACTTTGTAGTTGATGATTTTTTAAGCTAGAATCATTTAGGGTCCTAAAGTTATGTTTTAAGTTCTCAGACTTTAAAATTTTATTTTTCAAACGCCTAGATGGAGACATGCTCCAAAACCAAAGTTGTACTGCTCAATAAAATCTTAACCTTTGGGGTACAACTTTTTTCATTTGAAGTCGTTTTAGGGAGGAAATACCCATTGCAAGATTCAAGAAAGTTTATTTATACAAAGTATAGCAACCTGCATTCGGTCACAAAGTGTCCTTGTGACGCAGTGGTAGGGAAAAACTTAAGGTTGAGTCAACCCACACGTACGTAAAATAAAAGCATATGATCTGTGACCTGTGTGTGGTCTACTTCTTCCTTGATGGGTTTCTCCCAAGGCTATTGTTTTTTGTTTTGCTACTTTTGGATAATTTATAATTTCTAAAAAAAAGATATCTCGAGGTGGGCCACTTGCCGACCCATCTACAAATCATCGATTTAAAAAAAATCGATGATTTCTAGATACTCTCATTAAAATTGGTTCCATAGTAGTGTGCCTGAATTAGTAGTATTTGTTACTGTGGTCTTGGTGGTAATTGCAGGGGAGTGGTGGCAGACGGATCTAGGACAGATTGACAAGAGCTTGACGAACAGTTTCTTTGGTTTTAACCCCAGCTCAGCGACAATTAACGGCAAGCTTGGAGATCTTAACAACTGCTCCGGTACGGTAATCATCCTAGCTCTCAGTTCTTGGATCTTTACAACTAGGAGGCCGGGCTTCATTTCATTTCAAAATTGATTTGCATGAATGAAGAATTTGCATGGTGCTTCATTTCATTTCAAAAATTTGAAGGTGGCCTTGTTGAAGAGGGCTACGTATTGGAGGTGGAGGCCGGCAAGAACTACCTGTTACGCTTAATCAACGCCGCGCTAATTTCCGAGTACTACTTCAAGATCGCCGGGCACAAGTTCACGGTGGTCGCCGCCGACGCGAACTACGTGAAGCCGTACACCACGGACGTGATCGCGATCGCGCCCGGAGAGACGGTGGACGCCCTGCTGGTCGCCGACGCGGCCCCGGAGAGGAGCAACTACATGGTCGCCCTGGCCAACCAGCCATCGATCACCAACCCGCCGTTCCCGGTCACGGTCACGAGAGGGACGCTGCGGTACCTCAACGACGGCGACGACCCCGCCGCGGCCGGGGACGACGCGCCGCCGCCTCTGGGGCCGGAGATGCCGGGCCTGCACGACATGATGCCCTCCTTCTACTTCCATGGCAACCTGACCAGCCTGAGACTGGCACACCCGCGCGGGCGGACGGTGCCGGCGCACGTCGACGAGCGCCTGCTCGTCACGCTCTCCATGGGCTCCGTCTGCCGGAACGGCGGCGAGTCCTGCGCGCGGGGCGGGAGCATCGAGTCCATCATCGTGGCCACCATGAACAACGTCTCCTTCCAGCTCCCGGCCAGTCGGCCACCACGACGACGACGACTCTGCTGGCGGCGCACTACAACCACAGCCATAGCAGCGTCGTCGTCAACGGGACGGGGGAGCAGCCGCAGCAGCTGTACACGCCTCTGCCGGAGAGGCCGCCGCGGCCGTTCAACTTCACCGACCGCGCCTTCATCCCGATCGGGCCCACGGAGGCGGAGGCGCAGCTGGAGCCGACGCGGAAGGCGACGACTGGGCAGCGGTTCCTGTACGGCGCCGCGGTGGAGGTGGTGTTCCAGAACACGGCGGTGATGCAGAGCGACTACAACCCCATGCACCTGCACGGCCACGACATGTTCGTGGTCGCGCAGGGGCACGGCGACTTCGACGCGGCGAGGGACGTGCCGGCGCGGTACAACCTGGTGGATCCGCCGGTGAGGAACACGGTGCTCGTCCCCAGCCTCGGGTGGGCCGCCGTCCGCTTCGTCGCGGATAATCCAGGAGTGTGGTACCTGCATTGCCACTACGAGTTCCATGTGGCGGTGGGCATGGCGACGGTGTTCGTCACAGAGGACGGGCCAACAGTCGGCTCAGCTCTTCCGCCGCCGCCGGCAGATCTCCCAAAGTGTGGCGGCGGCCATGGCAGCAGCCTCGACGCCATGGAAAACGACCTACTATAATAATACCCCGTTGCAGAAAACGCCGATATTTCTGACGTTAACATAGTATATAATAATAACAAGTTGTAAGGTGTGCCGTCTCTGTCATACGTGGCACTGACAGTGGACCTCTGTTCTGGTTTAAAATTGTGTCCAAGCGCAACCACGTACGTGGATCATGTATCACCACATGAGAACTGGTCGGCAATGACGGCCACTAAAGTGCAATAGTGACGGGGAACCACTTATGTGGATTGTTTCATTATTATCATATGCTTGATCGTTTGGTGAATCATTTTCTCATGAAGCACTGTCTGAGGCAGTAACCAGGAAATCACTTATGTGGATACTACATTTGCGAGAACCTCATGAATTTCTCGTGGAAAACAAATGATGAACTACTCGAAGTACGTAAACAATATACACAATTTATTTCTTACCATTGTTGATATATACACACACTAATCATATATTCATATTTTTTCCTTCATTGAAAGCTTAACTAGAAGAGGGACAAGGTCCTACGACCGGATCAGATCAAAGCAATTCAAGAGGCATTGGCAGGATTTCTTTTTGAGCAGGCCGTAGATCCCAAGGGATGGTACTACAATGACGAAAAATTAGTTCCTAAGCTTCCTGAAGAGCTGGATTCAATGTAATTCGAAGGACAGTACAAGCTTTTGTTAGCTTATGTATAGTTTCATGTACAAGCTTTTGAAATATATGTATAGTTTCATACATTTTGTGTGTACGTGTATATATATGTATAATGCTCGAATGAAAACTTATACGCATGGACATATATTAGTAGCGTAGAATACGTATATGAAAAACTAATTGAAACAAAAAATAATTGAATTGAAAAGAAATCATAAAAGAAAAGGAAACTCAAAAAGAAAAGGAAAGGAAAAAGGGACTTTTAGCCCGGGTTGATGACTAAATGTGCCTGCTCCAGGGCAAGGGATGGAGACTCTTTTTAGTCCCGGTTGGTATGGGGGGCCTTTAGTCCCAGATTCATAGTCCCGGTTCCCAACCGGGACTGTAGCCCAGTTCTGCACCAGTGAGTACTGGATCGCACGAACATTAACGGTCGATAGCGATGGCCTAAGGCAAGCTGCACATGGCAAAAACCAGCCTCGGCCTCCTTAAGCGATAAACTCTCATCGAGAGAAGTGTACAACAACAGGATATGGGTGTTGAAACAGAGATTTGGGTTTAGAGATGTAAGAGTATTAGCATTGTAAGGGGGGCGAGCCAGGAATTATACTTACGGGCAGTCAAAAAGAGCCAATATGTAAAAACTGAGCGCAACTCAACACGTTAGTGATCGTCCTGGTTAATTCATTGACTTAATGGGTACTCGCATTTTGTTTTATGTATCCTAGGATCTGAGGCACTATTTTTTTAGTGGTAAGCGCCTTGTCCATTGACAGCAAGATGTCTAGGGTGACTTTGTAAATCTTGAGTACCGGCTTAGTTGTTCGGAGATCCAAAGTACCCTTGACATGTGATGGGTTTTTCTTGAGTGATTACAAAGCAAATAAAGCCAATATCTTCCTATAAAAATATATTGCATATTTTCATACAAATAAATTTTGAGAAAATATTATTCAAGCAATTGGTGATTTTCCACATCTAGGTGATAGATCTATGTGAAAAGAACTTAAAAGTTTTATTTTACAATTTTTAGACTTGAGTTCGGTTTCATGATGATTTTACAGCTTTGCTGCTATTCACTCATGGTACATATAACAAAAAGAATACGAAGGTTTAGGAAAATATGACAATTTTGCAAACTATTTTCAAAGCCTTTCTTATATTTTCTCGCCTCTAACGCTTTTGCATTGGGAACCCTATTGTTCTCATTATTCTCCCCCTTGACTCCCTCCCTCTTTTCTCACGTACGGAAGGCACGGCGGCGGGCGCGTAAGTCCGCCGAGTCGTCACTCAGTCCTTCTGGACTAACGTTTTGGTTCCAATCCCCTGTCTGACAAACTCGTTTGGAGCCGATTCTCCAGATTCACCCAAGAAACGATACCGTTTCAACCTACCAAACGAGCCCTAAATATGTTCTTAAAACATTTGCAAGAAGGAAATGATCTAGAATAACATCCTAAGAAAGTCTACTAAAAGCTTCACACACAACAAGATATGCAACAAAAGAGAAGCTAATGATCACACTAAGATAGAGTTCTTAACGGAAAAAATCAACCAGGAACCTCTCACTCCGGCTGGCACCGTACCAATCCTCTCCCGAGGAAGCTGAAGGATCTCACTGTTCTAGTGGAAGCAATTCCAGACGGGGACAGCTTGCAACCACTCATGGCGCACCACCAAGTCTGAAGGTTTTTCCTCCCAATGTTGGTGCACGATACTCCTTCTCGACCTCATGGGAACGAGGCTTCCGCGAGATCAACCACGACATCAACTACCTCTCGCAACAAGTGGGTGATCTTCAGATTCAAACTGGAGATATACAAGGAGCCTTGAACCAGCACATTCAAGACAACGCGAGTCAACTGTATCGCAGGCTTCACAACAAGAAAATGCAACACATACAGTGGGCGCGTACTGGCAGCGCATGGGCCTAGACCCACCAGAGGGAGGCTACTGAAAAAGAAAAGCTTGGAGAAGAAGCCCATGCACAGCTAAGTTGTTTCAGTTGCATCTACATTTTTATTTTTAGTTTGGTTTGTTTCTTTTGTTTAAATAATATATAATAACAATGAATACGGTGAAAATAACAAAAAAAAAACGTTTCCTTGTGTATCATGAATGTTTAATCTCTCGATCTTTGGGATGATGAATACTTGCTCTGTTTATGTTTTTAATGTGCCTAGTATAGTAGTATGCAGCTTAACATTCTTCTAGGTATGAATTATTTGGCTCATTTAAATTCATCTTAAACCTGAAAGTTTGTGGGATGAAAGTGATGTAACTAAGTTGAAGTTGTTGTGAGATATGATATAGCATAATATGAGCTCCTCTAATCTTGTTCCAAGTGAGGCATGAATTTCCGGAGTTATTTGTTTTGAAAAAGAACGAAAATGTAAAGCTCTTCGATGGTGAAAAAATTCCTACGAAAATCATACATGAACTTACATGTAAAGCTTTCTACTTATACTTGTATTGAGTTTTGTATGACCCGTATGAGAAAGCCTATTATAGATAGCGTATTTACATTTTATGTCGAACATGAGATCAAATTGAATTCACAGTGCATTCTCTCAAATAAGTAAAACAATGGCAATATGGAGATCAAATTTATGCTTAGATCTTCATGATCTATAGGTCCATGCATCAATTAAATACTCCTTCCCAAATTATAAGTCATTTCAGTGTTCTTGGAGAGTCAACGCATTTCAAGTTTGACCAAAATTACAGAGAAAACTACAAAGATTTATGATATCAAATAGATACGTATATTTAATAAAGAATCTAATGATTCTTATTTGGTATGATAAATGTAATTATTTTATTATTATATAAATTTAGTCAAACTTAAAATGTTTTGACTCTCTAATAAAGTTGGAATGACTTATAATTTGGGACAGATGGGTATCTTATTATAGCGCAAATGCTTGCACAAGGTCGTCCGTCCCATCTGGACGCATGCCACCTTCCTGGTCCTGTGAAGCGGATAGGCCCAATACACCTCTACGTCCCTTCCATCTTCCATCGCTGAAAATTTCCCCACTCGCACTCACATCGGTGTTCTGGCATCATCGCGCATACGCCCGACCCACTCCGCTTCGTCGTGCCCCCTTCCCCCACCATGCGCATGTCCCCCGCCACGCCATGCCCCTCCCCCAACCGTGTTCCATCCCCATCGCCGTCCGCGCCATGCCCCATCTCCTGCGAGCAGACAACGCTGGACGACTACGGCCGAGCAGCAGCGGCACTAGAGAAGCCGCGCCGACGGCCGCGAGCCTGGGCCACGAGCATGCGCGGGAGAATCGTAGGAGGAGCAACGGGCCGACGTCCTGCAACTGAGGTGTATGCTGGGTCGACGCCCCCCTGAGCCAAGCTTGCTAGCTACCACAGTTCCCCACTAGGTAGGCCGTGGCCGCCGACAGTGTCGTGTTTCAAGTGTTTCAGGCGTTCTAGACTTATGCTTCAATTGTTTGATCTAGATTTTGCAAATGTATATCTAAGATGTTGCATATGTTGCAATGACAACGTATGCATATTGCAAGCGTATGTTTTCGAGTGTTTTATCTGGATGTTGCAAAAGTAGATCTAGGTGTTGCATATACATGCATGTTGCAAGAGTATGCTTCATATGTATGTTGCATGTGTTTTATCTGGATGTTGCATATGTTTTACAATGGCTATCAGGTGTTTAGTGTTTCACACGTATATTGCATGTGTTTCAGCTGCTTCAGACGTATGTTGCAAGTGCTTTATCTCGATATTGCAAAAGTAAATCTGGTATTACACACGTTGCAACGGGACCCGTCTGCTGCAACCGCTTGCTACAGTTGCTGGGGCGCCGTGCATGCGCGTGGGAAGCAGAGGAGGATGGAGGCAGGGGTGCACGGCCCCACGTGCATGCACGCGCCGGAAGCAGATGGGGCGCGGGCATCTGAACGGGAGGCACAGAGGTTCCGCGTGCGCACGGGCATATGTTAAATGGAGCAGCAGGCGTCGGCATCCGGACGTGGGTGTTCGTCGGGGCGCTAGCCCTGCCGTTATTATAGATATTGTCCGTTGTTTGTTATACGGTCTATGTCAGAGATGGCATGTGCATGCAAACGGCGGCTGTCTAAACTTGCCGCGGAAGAGAAAAGACGAGTGGAAAGAGGAAGATCTGGTCATTTCAACCTGACTGGAGCCATTTGAACGTCGAAGCCAAAGCTATCATCGAAAAGCCAAGCCAAAATACCTGGTGCAATTTGCCAATCTGTACAGATGCAAAACTATGCTTCATTTCTTTACTACCGCATCCGTTTTGTTATTGCAGATCAAAACATGTTGCTCCGCAAAGAATTCCTTGAGGCAAAACCCTGCGCGTCCAAGTC